AGCATCCCATGGTCACGTAATTGCCATTTGCGCACTTCACAGCAGGCTTCCAACAAACAGTGTCAATGGAGAACCTGGCAGTAAAATTGCAAGTTGTGGTCACCTGATGTCTCATTTAATGACTGTGTTGCTTAGCAACAGAGTTGCTGGTCCCAATTGTGGTTGTTAAGCAAGGACTACTGTAGTCCATCTCATATCTTTCAATAAGCCTCTTAATATCTGTAGGAAACATACTTTTGCTCTTCATCCCACTTGCGTGGTTGCTTTGTCACTTCATGTTTTCATGCAAGAAAAAAAGTGAAGACATGCAGCAAGAAGTTATGATGGGCCTCAAGTTCTTGGCGCATCTTTACCATATAATTGCAGACCTGGCTCTTCCATTCAACTTCCATGACTGTTCAGTAGGACACATTTAACAAACTAATGATGGTGTCTGTACTATATGTATTTTAAAAAGAGAATCCTGTAGGCATTGTGGGGTTAAAAACTTGTTCCTGCTTTCTCAGCTGTGTGGGCAGGAAATCCTTTGCTTCAGTAGAGTCAAAAGTTTTTGACCCTGTTCTCCAGTTAGAGAGAACTGCTTTCTCGGCTCTTCTGACACTATTAAGAAATGGTATTTTCCATTCCATCATCATCATCATCTCCTCCTCCCTTTCAGACTATCTATTTGGAATTCAAAGGGAATGAACTTAATTTCAGCACAGAAAATAAAAATGCCTCACGTTTGCCATCTAGTGGTTACATCCTGACACAGGCATTTAAATTCCAAATTAATGTTTGAAATAAGGGCACATTGGTCAATCCTGATGTTAGATTTACAGTCAGCCACAATACTTTGTCACTTTGGTTTCTGAGTCTTGTATATAAGGATTCTGGGTTGCAGACATGCAGTACTTTTACTACAGACACAATAGTAAAGGATGAGGAGCTTTTTGTATGTTAAAATATTTACATCTGCTTAGAAATTGAAGGGAATTAACTTAGTGATACTTTAGAGAGTATTGGAGTTAAAATAGAGGGAGGAATTAATAAAAGCAGAATTCCTATTGGTGTCTACTATTGCCATCCAGCCATGATGATTGCTTTCTACAATCAAATTACACAGAGTAGCTTTCAAAGAAATATGAGGTAGATGTAATGGGGAAATTAATTTACCCTGCAACCATAATACTTCCAGGAAATTCCTGACATGTCTTGCTAACAACTTTCTCCTTCAGAGAATGGAGCAATGCATAAACTATCAGCTGTTCTTGACTTCATTCTAAACACTAGGGATAACTTAATTGTAAGTATAAGTAACAGGATAATGGGGAAAAGTAACCATGTAATGCTGGAGATCTTAATTTAATGGCAACTAAACCTGAATGTAGTCAAATGCATATCTTGGACTTAAAAAAAAACAGATTTTAATAAATCTATGCATATGTAGGATTCTATAGTATATCAGAAATGGAAAGTAGGCCAAATCACCAAGAAAAAGTATATAGAAATAGTCTGGATTTGTACAAATAATGTCAAAAAAGCTGAAACTCAGAATGGGCTGCTACTAGTAAAAGATGCTAGAAAAAATGACATAGGCTTTCTTAGATATATTCGAAGTAAAAGAAAGAAAGAAAAAATAATCAGCTTCTCACTGAAAACAGCAAGATGTTACCTGAACTTGAAGAATGTGCTCTTGCCATCCAACACTACTTCCCTGATGTAGCTTATGGACCATGGTCTGATAGGGACTTTCAAGTCCTACTACATTCACTCACCTTCTGTCATGGCCCAGGACTCAGATTCTGACTCTGAAGAAGCTGCTCCAGCTGAACCTGTGGACTATCAGCCTCAGGAGACACAAAGCCAAGAATCACCTGAGGCTGATCATACACAGGCTTCACCTGAACAGCTGGAACAGTCAGATGATGAAGGTGTAAGGCCTGCAAGTCCTTGCACCTGGTGAGTAGCGTGGAGAGCAGAGCAAAGACAATCTATGAGGCTCCTTGCCAAGCAAGGCAGTAAATCTCTTGATTAAAGACTGCTGGCTGCAGCCCATTTAAGAGGCAGCCCTGACCCCTGTTCCTTAGTTGGAAAGAACTGTCTGATCTTTTGCTCTGTTTTTTTCTGTGAATCTTGCTTGTGAAACTCTGACATTGGACTGGCTGAGAAACCTGATTTGGCTCTCTGAACTTTGGACTGGATTTTGACTATTCTTCTATGTGTTCCTGTTGAAAGCAAAACCACTGAGGCAAGCTTTCTTTCCAAGAGACTTTATTTTATATTTCTTCCCTTGTCTGTTGTTATCTGTTTAGCCTTGAAGAAATTGCTTTCCTTACCTAGCAACTCTGTGAGTTTGAGATCTGAAACAGGATGCCTTCAGGATGATGCTGGATCTCATGAAAATATTTTTTTTTTCCTGTCAACATCACAAGTTGCACTGAGACAGACCATCAATACATACCTCTCAGAATCCATGCCCAGAGCATGGAATACATGGTGAAAAAAGTTGTGGTCTGGGGCAGTCACCATCTGCTGTAACTGTTTCATCAGTAGCAGATACAATTGAGTGGATTGCTAATCTTGCATGCCCCATAGTGGGAAAAGTCTGGAACACATCAAGCCACATGAGGTGCAGGACCAACTCCAACCCCATTAGGTAGAGCTCTTAGAGGCAGAATTGGAGGTGGTTCATACAGGTTGCTCCTGAGAATGAATAAGAAGAGAGACAGTCTCCAAGCCCTTCACTATATTAGGATTACCTGAGATCCCTATCTGGGGAATGTTTTGCCAAATCAACTGTTTGATCTTGAGAGCAGCATCAAATTCAAAATGTGGAGCTGCTTTGCAACCCTAGAACAACTACTGGGCTCTGCAAAGCACCATCAGCTACGTTGCAACTGTGGAATCATCAGAAAATGAGACCAGTGCTTTCTGCAGCTTGGAGGAGCGGGGAAAGAATGCATGTTCTCTTGCTTCCATATTTTGGTTTTTCCTGTGGCAGGTCACAGACTGTAGGGATGGAACGTGTTGACTCCAGGAAGAGAGTGAAAGAACACCACTACTACTTTATTCTGTGTTCTTTAGTTAGAATAAAACCTGGTATTTAAAATATTTATATCTTTCATTTTTGCTGAATTATTCTTTATTTTGATCTAAGCTAGCCAAGTTATAGAAGAGTTTCTGCTTTTTCTTTGTATTTTCAGTAATTTATCAGTCATTTTTTGGGGCTTTGGAGCCTCCCCATGTTCCCATATGTGCAAATTCTTGTTATCCATGATTTGTCATCTGCTGTCATGTGCTGGAATGTAACCCTGACAGATAATGAGGTCCACCTGTATAAAAATATGTGCTTACTGAAAGTTGAGTGT